ACAGACAGGGCGGTACGACGCCCTCAGGGTAGCCGGGCAGGTGTGTCGCCCACGCAACTGCGAAAGTGGTAACTGAAACTTACCACACCTGCAGTGAAAAAGGCGGCTTGACGTAAAACCCCCCAACGACCGCAACGACCGCAACGAAGCGAAGTTTTCAACTCGTTACAATTGAAACCGCGGGCCGTCTTCAACTTCATTACAAGTTGAAAACCCGCGAGCACGTCTTCGCAGTCGGTACTTTAGGGTAAATACGTTTAGACGGTCATGTTCGCGATCGGTTAGTTTGGACGCAACATACGACCCTCTCTGATGCGTCCAGTAAAGGAGTAAGGTTTTTTACCTCCTTTTAAGTAAATACGCCATCACTTAGTGGGCCACGACAGGACTAGGTCAGAGGACAAGTAGATGGCCCTATGTTTGGCCTCCTCCGGTCCGTCCTCCCTCCACCGTCTCTGTCACCCACTTTGACCATCAAAAGCGGACAAACCCCTAAAATTATAGGTCAAATGAAGCAAAATTGTAGCGATAACGAAACATTCCCAGCCCCGCCCTCTAATTAACTAACCAACCAACCAGCCGCAACGAGCCGTTTTTTAGGGGTTCGAAGTCTATGCGGAGTGGCGGTTCGCAGTTGCCGTGCGGCGATGCACACCTGCCGGGCAGTGTTTCGTTATTATTGCGCGGGCAGGTGTGTCGCGCAACGCAACTGCGAACGGCCGCCCGGGGCACAGACTTTGAGCTGTTTGTTGGTTAGTGTACTTAGAGGGCGGGGACTGTGTGTTCGTCGCCAAACTAACCCGATCTCGAACATGCCGTATACTTAAGCTAACCGAACTGCGAAGACGGCTCCGCAGTTTCAAACTTTGTAACCGAGTTGAAAACGTCGCTCGGTGCGGTCGTTGCGAGGGTGCAGCGAAGGTGCTACGTCAGCCGCTTTTCACTGCAGTGGTGTATGTTTCACTTACTACTTCGCAGTTGCGTGCCGGCGAGCACACCTGCCCGGGGGCATTCTCACAGACAACTCTATCTACTGCTCACTAATGTCACCGGTTAGTCTCCCCACGGAGTTTTTGGACTATGTAATTGTGTTCTACTCCCAAGGGGTTGGTTGGTCTTACCAAATATTCAATTTGATTCCTTCATTTCGCATTGTGTTTATGGCTATCTCGTGGCAAACAGGCTTTCTTTTTTTTTTTTTTTTTTGACAGTCGCCGAATTGCCATTGGCTATGCGGGGTTAAGCCCATGAGTCCATAACTGAAACATGGCCAAGAGCCATTCGGGTAGGGATGAGAACTCTTAGCGGCCGGTCTGAACCCCCTCGCGGTCCCGACCGGTGGAAAGTAAGACACTTAGAGACTCATGGCCGTGCCGGGGGTGCGCTAGGCCTAATCCACCGGTAGGCAGGTTAAAATCCAGCGCTGGTCAGGCCAAAAAGTACAGACACCGGGCAGACCAGGTCTGGGTGCACTTTAAACAATGTAGTGGCGGTAGAGCAAGGTGCAATCTATGTACTCAATTAGTTGCTTGTAAAGGGGGTAACACAAGCAACTTAATGAAGCATTGCAAACTCAACTCATTGAATCTAAAACGGTGCAGCGTATTTGACAGCCTAAACAATGTGGTTGCTAGCGATACTGCTAGTGCTAATAGTGCTAGCGGGCTTCAGCCGCGCCGTGTAAAGGTGACCTGAACGAAGGCTCGCAGGCAGGTTAGCTGCTGCGCACGGGTAATATGTTTTGTTTACCTGAGTGCAGTCTTGCAGGCACATCGCCTTGTCTTTTTTTAGTTTATTAGCACTGACAGTGTATTAATGTGAGCTCCTACACCTATAATAATTTGGCCTTTCATTGAATGCTTTATAAACCAGTTAAACTTACAGATGTCATTGTGAATTGGAAAACTGCATTTAAATGTTGTTAAAGGTCAACGTTTCAATGTATGGTTCAGCAATTGTTGGTCGTTTACTAGGAATTAACATATTTTAAGCTCAAATACTTTGTTCTATGTTTAAACCTTCAGAAACATTTTGACGTGTTTCAGTTCAGCACATCATTTATTTTGTGATGATTTAAAAGTACTATCAACAATAATATACGTACTCGCCTTTATCTTTTTTTCCATCTTAGCCTTTTTACCAATTTCTTCATATCACAGTTTTGCATGATGTCACTGTATAGGACAATGTTTTAAGGATCTCTTGTCGAGCTAGCTTGTCAGTTTGAAATGTCTGGATGAAGATGTAACTGATTTACAAATGTTAACATTTTTTTTTAAAAATGCCTCTTTTCATCCTCTGTCTGAGGGAAAACCCCAAAAAGCATGATAGGGCGAGCTAGGCCCCTTTAAGTTATTTTATTTATTTGTGTCTGCTTCTGAGAAGCTATGTATAAGTTATACAGTTATTTCTGCAAGAAAATTACAATAAAATGACTGTTTAATCTTCACATCTTGTATTCATGTCTATAATTTTGAGCACCAAATTATTGAAAAGTATCGATAAGAGTATCGAAAAATACCGATACCGATAAGCAGTACCGGTATCGGTATCGATAAAATCCTAACGATACCCATCCCTAGTTGGGTGTAAGAAGTGTTCTACACATTTAACTTTTTTTAATGTATACGTGCACCATCCGGATAATTATAGTGCATTTTGCAATCCTTTGCATTTGGGACTAATGCACACAAAAAAAGTGTATAGAAGTCCGTAGATTAAGACACAGCGATAAACGTACCCTTTTACACAGGAATTATTTTTGCTTTCTTCTCCTCATGTTGTCATAATCTGTACCCATTCAGTGTTGTTAAGATTGTTACCTTACAACAACTACATTTTCCGTTGCTTTATAGCTGCATGTACTGTATTTATCAGTATGTACAATATGACTACACTGCAGTTATGGAAGAATGACTCCATATGTAAAATAAGACTAATCTTTTTTATCTGCCATAATGACTGTGGACAAATGGAGTTTACTTGCAGCTTTTTACATATTTTATAAAGATATAATTAGAACTATATTCATTAGTAAACAAGAGTCTACCATAGTAAAGTATTGTTTGATCAACAGTTTTATAAAGGTAATGACGATTAGAGAAAGAGCATTTCTGACAAAATTGGCAAAGGTTCTGTTTGGAATGTAAATGTTCATTATCACAATAGCAGGGGCAGTGGTGGAATGTAATTCAGTAAGTAGTACATATACTCAAGTATTGTACTTAATTACAATTTTGAGGTACTTGTACTTTATTGTATTGTTTATTTTCTGTTACTTTATACTTTTACTCCACTACATGTATCTGACAGCTTTGGTTAAAGGTTACTTCACAGATTTACATTATTAGTTAATAAAAAATATATAAGTCAACTTGTAAATATCAAACTGTATTTATTTTACCATTGATAACAGACTGGTAGCCTATATTCATTTTTACATTATAAGTTTACATTTTACTATCAAAATTAAACAGATTGATAGAGTTCCAATTCTTGTATTAATATGCGTTAGGATATTTGTAAGATTAGTGAAAACTCTTGAGGTTGATATTGATTCCTATAAAAATATGTTAGGTTTAATATCGATGCTCCGAATTCACCAGCACGACATAACACATCCTAAGAAACTGCAGCAGCTTGGAGAACGAGTGAGTTTTTTCCGATGTGCAGATTATTCTTAAATTGACAGAATTATGAACGGAGTCTGGTGTGGTGCTTTCTGCATGAAAGGATGAACGGTGCGCTCGGAGCAGCAAATACTCATTATTCTAAATCCCTATGTTCAATGCGGTTCATTAAAGTCGGTAATACTCCATTAGTAGCAGTTGAGCACGCTTCTACTTAACAAAAAATCCCGATAAACCTATTGTTGGAAACATCAGACCCGCGCGCTCGCCATGTCTGCCGAGCGCTTGTTGTTTCCTGATAATTAATAAAAACACATTTCACTGACATAACACTTACCGTGTCTGCCACAGAATGGTCAAAGACACCAGCACGGACGTGAAATATGGGCTCCATCGTCCTCTCATCGCGGAAACCTGCAGAAAAGAGGGGAAACCGCTCAGAGCGCGCGCTGTTCCACAAACCACCATCCAGCTGTTGAACGGAACACACCGAGATGTGTCTCCATGAACAGACACTACACCGG